TGTTCTGAATAACTTACGAGTTCACTCCTTGCTTACTGTAATATGTAATCGTAATAGATGAAGAGCCGATTATTACTAACAGAAAAACATAGTTTATAATAGAAATGTGTGTTTTACAAAATAACTGAATTTTTGTGTGTCTTGTTTTTAAATGTGCTAACAATAAATTCTTTATTTATATTTTATAACAACAAGTCTCAATCTTTAATTTTAATTACTGTCATGGATTACGAGAATTTTAGGTTTTCCATTATAAAGTATCATATTATATTATTAGTCATGTTAAATGCAAAGCAATAGATATACCTAGATTGTCAGCAATAGACATACATTATTTAATACAACTAAAAATAATTGTGATTGAAATATTTCCAAGATTTTATTAAGTTTCACTTTTAATTGTAATCGTGGGTCATTAAATGTTATGTTATTATAAAAATCAGTTTATTTTAGTACAATATTTAAAATTATAAAATGCAAGTGCATATTAAAAAAAATATTTAATAATAATTGGTATGTCTATTACATGGATTATAGAAGAACCAAAACCAAACGCACGAAAGAGATTGAGAAAATAAAACCAGTGGTTTAGTAAAATGTTTATCAGATTTGACGACTCGCCAGCATTTTATCACCTTCATTTACAACTGCGGGCAAAATTATGTTTTAAATTAACTTTTGACAGCTTGAAAGCCCGGACAGTTTTTAATCACTTAGGGTAATTAAATCTGTAAATATCTCATCATAAGAGATTTACAATATCTCTTTTAAAATTAAAATAACCGCTCCACAGCAAACCTGCAGACTAAGCTAATTTTCATTTATCTGGCTGGGTTTCTACTAAAATATTCGCTTAAAAATTTTCAGATTTATTTCCTATTTAAATAACATTCATCATAACGATACCTAGGTTTGCTGCTACAGGGGAAGTATAGAGGTGTGTTTTTTTTATTGAAATGTTGATAGCTTAGTATGAAATAAACAAAATTGCCAAATTTGATTAAAACTATCCATAATCAAGCAAACTACAACAGTTTATTTATTCTCCATAAGAATAACGTGGGAATTTTAAATTATTTTTTTTTATCATCACCGTAACCGTTAGCTATACACAACGCTTCAATATACTAAATTATTTATTTTTTAAGCTGTACAAAATGGTCTAAAAAGAAATTGTGATTTTTTTTTGTTTTTAGAGTCGAAAATGAGAAAAACCAATTTTTACCCCATACAACCCCGTTCCCATAGTCCGATCATGCTGGTTCGCGAACACGTTCGAATAAACGCAGGTTTACAACTTTCTACCAAATTCCATCAAAATCGGATAATTTTTCAAAATCGATATCAGTCCGTATATTAAAATATGTGATTCCGTATGCATGTATGAATGATAAACAATGCCCTGAGGTTAATGTATATTTAATATTTTTATTTTATTTAACCAAAGTCTTACATTTATCGCATAAAAATCTAACAAATTTAGGATTAATTTAACAAGTAGGCCTACAGCGTAATTAAGTTGAATCATGATAAATATGAAAATTATCTCAACATAGTCGAATATGGTAACATGTATAACCTAAAATATTTCTAAAATATTATATTTAAAGTTGGAAACAACACATTTTTAAAAGTCTAACTGTATTAAAGTCCACAGACAGGAAATCTATAAAGTTAGAGTCATTGAATCAATCAACACAAAGTCCAGGATGAGGATGGAAAGAAGACATCGCTGAGTCAACAACCATCAAAAGTTTAAACCAGAGTATCAACAGATCCTATTTACTCTGCTAAGAACTTTCCTACGTAACTTCCTGTTAAATTTTGTTACTTCAGAGTTGTACAAGAGAAAATGGGATTTTGGAGTAGATAAAGTTGTGTTTAGGAACAAGACAAGGTCTTAAATAAACGTGCTACTTAATAGTTGATCCTAGTTAGTCAAGATATACATAATACTTCTCGTGAACTATATATATGTATGTATATATGTTATATGATTTTTGAAAAAGCCACCCTCATGGTTATTTGGATATGAAACGTTTTAGGGCGCCATTTTGTTATTAAGTGTCCCATTTTGGTTTTCTTTGTGACAATTGTTTAGTTTCGTCAATACATGTAAAATGATACCAAAATCGACTATACTTGCCGTTTGACAAGTTTAAGCTACTGTTCAAGTTACAAGTTTAAACTTGTTCAAGCTACAAGTTTAAGCTACCTCGTACCTACACTACCTCTAAGGGCAACATTTTCAAAACTAACCATTATTATTGTAGCCCCTCATATCTAAGAAGGTTGCCACAAACCGATTTCAAATTTCTGAAATGGTTGAAAAGGTGAAAAGGGGGGTGCAAGTTACTTTTCAGCCACCCTGTATAAACACAAAGTTAAAATTATAACTGTATGATGTATTAATGTTGATAATAAAACTTTTGACGAAACTGTATCCAATCAGTCAAAATGTCTATAGTTTTTAAGAATTTTATTATAAATATTGTCAGTTGTTTTAACAAATGTGTTAGTTATGTTTGAAATAAGAAGGAAAGTCAAATTGTGGATTGGAAATAAGAAAACATACAGTTAATGAAGTTTTATAAGATATCACTATTAATACGATTTAGGTTAGATAATTTAGGCTCGAACTCTCCCGTAACTATTAGCTACCAATTAAAATAAAGCAAGAATTTAATTGCCCGATAAAGACTCATATAAAATGCCATAAGTTTAGCACTATTAGTAAAGTTTCTCTAGGTTGGGTTAAGTCTTTTTATTCTACCATACATGAGCTGAAATGTAGCTAGGAAAAATCTGCAATAGAACATGGAATGAATTTATCAGTGTTTGAGGACTTTGATGAATTATGGATAAAACAATGAGGCTGATGATTCAGAGCTTCGCGTTGCTGAATCATGGTGACCTATTTGCTCAGTATTAGCTGACCTCGATTTATAAAAACGTTTCATCAACCTTTAAATCAATAAAATAAAATATTTGTAAACTAGTTAAAGTTGAACAATTACTAAAATAAAACTAATTTATTGGTATGTGAGCGTAAGCTTTTTTCACCTTTTATTGAACATTTAAATATTTTATTGATCTCTTCATATTAACAGTAGCACAGTTTTTTCCTTTGATACCGTATAAATATATTAATATGTGTGTTTATAGGTATCGTTTTACTGTTTAAAGTACTAATAATAATGATACTAGCCGATATTATTGGTACATTGCTAAAGAGTACAAAAATTGCTTAACGACAAAGAAAGCTTAACTATCTCAATCTAAAAGATAACAGGTTAATAACACTGAAATGTGGGACACCGTTTCAAAATTCAAAGTTCATTTAAACCTTAAATTTAATCATGTTCACGATTGTATATTTTATTCCTTTGATAATCAAGCAAAACATTATTAAACTTATCAATACCAGTATTCAAGTAAGAAGCAACAACAAATAACAAAATTTTACTCAAGCTTAACAAGTATTACTCAGGTCTGCAAACATTTTTTAAGACCAAAATTGTAAATATGAAAAATAAATATTGAGTAAGAAATTAAACAAATAGTATTATTGTTTGTTATTAACATCAACTAAAGCATTCAACCTCCAAGGCAGAAGAGGAAATAATATTTTTAAAGTCTGTAACAAGTTTTAAATAGGAGTTTATTAAAAGTGAATGTAAATAAAAGTATTGATTAACCTTCAGAAACTAGAAGAGATACCTCATTAATATAGCTTTCTAAATTAGTCATAAACAAGGTTGTATTTGCAGAATTTAATTGCACATCCTGCTCTGAGGGATATACTGCTGTTACCATTATTCAGGTTAAATTGTTGTTATAACTGCTCCCTTGCATCTAATATAGTCAACAAGATGGCGAATGGTGTTTAAGTTAGTTTACAACTTCTATTGTCCCCGGAAACACTGAAGTTTAGTTAGTTTAAAAAATTAATTTAGTTTTAGCAAGCTTTGACAAGTTGGATACTACTGATATTTTCGTTATGTCTCATTAGGATAAAATCTGTTACAAAAACGGAACATTTATATATACTATTGAAACTAGTTTACTAACTAGTATAAGCATTGGCTGAAAGATTAATTGGATATTTGAAGCACAGTATACAAAAAAACTTAATATTCATAGTTTTTTTTATTGGTTCACGTCAATATACGATTACTTATTTGCAAACTCGCTTTTAAGTCACTTGAATATTTTATATCTACAAACTTTATAGTACGCTCCCAAATACCCAGAACAAAGTTTGATTGAGTTTCAAATTGAGGAACCATTTCCACGAGGATTTAAAGTGGTGACGTCAGCAGCTCGTTCCACGTGATAGAGTGATTTCACTGGGGATTTGGTTCGTGACGGCTTTACATTTCCAAATAAAAACCTGATCCACGGATTAACATACGGCATATGGCATATGGCGTATGGCCTATGGCGTATGGCGTATATGGCAGTATAATATTTATAGTGAAAAATCTTATGTTAAATTTAATTCTTGTAATGTTTCTTAGCTTGGGAGCAAACGTTGGATCATAAAAAAAAATCAATTAAACAATATTTGCACTAAAACTGCCCTAGCTTCTAAAACACTAGACAAAAGATTAAATATTTTACTAACTGATACCAAAGGCTAAGTGATAAAAGTATACTTTTCATCCTATAGTCAAATCTGAAGTTTTTTCACTAGTGCATGTTGGTAACACTGGGCGCTAGATTCGACCTAATTTTGTTTCCATTATTTTAGGTTATGATTTATGCTTTACATTTTGGTTACATAACCAGGGGAAGAGCTGTTTTTTATGGTTAGATAATATTTGGTTAAACTATGTTAAACAGAAATAACAAGACACAAATCGTAAACAAAACACGACCCTAGCGGCACGAGACGGAACTATCAATACCATTGTCTTCAGCTGATCCATAAGGATGACAAATCTCCTATAGGAGTATGTTTTATATATGCTGACACTTAGTATATTATTTATACTTACTATCAGCTGTGTCAATGCTCATGCTGTGACCACCTCCCCGTGGTGATCATCCGATGCTGCCATAAGCACCTGCAACATCATTGCAAGCATGATTGTAACCTCTTGCAATAACAACATAAACTAGGTGGCGTTCGCAGAGGCATCCACAAAATTGAGCGGAGTCATCAAGGGTTCATATTATATTGTTTTTGTCATACTGCAGTAAAAACATTCGTCATTGGTGCATGCTTTGCGGGTCTAAAGTAGCATTTTTACTCTTTTGGGAATAAAATTCGTTTTTAGCCTCTACGGAGTAAAACTCAGCTGTTGTCAACTCAGTTGTAAATTTCTATTGTAAACTATTGAATACGTATCGAAATATGTAACGATTCGTGCTTCATAATAATTTTAACCTACAGTCTACAGTCTCTTCCCATAGCATTTTAGCATTGCAGATACATTAATCCATTCCCACACTCAACACTGCCCACCTTTACTACTTCCTTCACCATCCCCTTCGTCGTGGACCTGTTTCCCTCTCTTCCCATAGCATTTTAGCATTGCAGATACATTAATCCATTCCCACACTCAACACTGCCCACCTTTACTACTTCCTTCACCATCCCCTTCGTCGTGGACCTGTTTCCCTCTCTTCCCATAGCATTTTAGGATTGCAGATACATTAATGTAATTGCCAAAGGCAGTTCCCACACTCTGCACTGCAAGCCTTACTACTTCCTTCACCATTTCCTACGTCATAGGCCTGTTTCCATCCCTTCTCATAGCATTTAAGTATTAGATACATTTATCTAACTGCCCAAACGGTTCCCTTACTCTGCACTGCCAGCTTTTACTACTTCCTTCACTACTTCCTACGTCGTGAGGCCTGTTTCCTTCCCTTCTCATAGCATTTTAGGATTGAAGATACATTAATATAACTGCCACAAACGGTTCTCACAATATGTTCATGCTTTACTACTTCCTAAGCCACTTCCTACATCGTGGACCTGTTATCATCACTTTCCATAGCATTTTAGTATTTCAGATACGTTAATCTAATTGCCACAAACATTTCCCACATTCCACACTGCTAGCCTTTACTACTTCTTTCGCCATTTTCTATGTTGTGGCCATGCTTCCATCCCTTCTCATAGCATTTCAGCATTGCAGATACATTAATCTAACTGCTACAAACTGTTTCCAGTTCCCAAACTCCACACTGCTCACCTTAATTACTACTTCCTTCACCTCTTCTTACATCGCAGACCTGTTTCCCTCTCTTCCCATAGAACTTTAAGATTGTAGATACCAAGATACCTTAATCTAATCGTCATAAACAGTTCCCACACTCCGAAAAACTCGCCTTTACTGCTTCCTTCATCACTTCCTACGTCACGGACCTGTTTACCTTCTGGTCTAATGTTATCGGATCGTTTTACCATGGTAGAATGGGTTTCAAACAACTTCTTAGTGACTTAGACACTTTTTAGTAACGGTTTGTGTTATTAGTTTGATGTAAAATATATAAAACTACTTGAAATATAACATGAAACATATATTTACACCTATACTATTTTTAAAATACGATAAATAAATATGAAAGATAGGGGTTTGATCGATTTCAAATGTCATTTGCCTATTAGGTTTGATGATAAAATTGTCAAATCAAAATTTTTTCACTATAATCTTTCATATGTATTTACCGTCATGTAAAAACAGTATTAAATACATGTTTCGAGTATTGTTTAACTGTTTTTATTTACTTCTTGTAAATAATTTATTATTTGAGTTGTCAAACAAAAGAGAGACAAAAAGTAGTTATCAACGTGCTATAGACATTACTCTACCTAATAAATGCCTTGAAATAGTATTCAGTTAATTCACAAGGATGAAAGAAGGTACATACAATCTGTAATCCAGACTAAGAGTTATGTTTTAGCTACAAAACAATCCTTTGACAGGAATCCTGGGATGGCTATAGAAGAAATGGAAGACCGACAACCATATAGAGACAATTTGTAGAAGAAACGGCAATGAAACGGACAAGACGTGACGTGAAATAAAGAATTAACAAACTATTTGTAAAAAGTGAACAATCTATGCTTCCTCTGGGAACTTAAGCAAATTCAAAATTACATCGAAGAATTACATACAATGATTAGAGCATCATAACCAACAAGTTCAGTTGTACCATTAGCTATATGTACCTATAAGTATATAGTATGTTTATACCTGTAGGTATAGTCAATGGTTGTATCTTGCACTGAAAATTGCTGAAATGCGTCCGAAAGTAGGACTTACTCTTTGTATTTTTGTAAAAAAATACAACAAAAACACTTTGAAACCTAAAAAGAGTATAATAAATCCGTATAAAAATGGATCAAAAATAGTCATTCAATTATTTTTACTAGCTTGACAGAAGGTTAATTATTATTGGAAATATTTAGTCATATAACGGCAACGAATTTAGATTGTCAATTATTTCTCCGTGTTGAAGCTAAACAAATTGACACCGAGCAACAAAAGAGGGCAAGTTTATAAAATATTTTCATTAGTGGCGTTTGGAAATTTACTGGTTGGTTAGAAATAGAATGGAAATTTAATTTCCTCCTCGCCAGCCGTATTTAATTAAACCAAGTGTCTATCATCGGCTGTTCGGTTACTCGATAGAATTTTATCGAAGGGTAAGAATCTTGTTCATTAAGTTTCATTGATTTCTGGGGTATTTCGCGTCCACAAATGAAGGAGAAATAATGTGACAAAAATGTTAAATAAATATCTATTTATCAATAGGCTAGCATGTTTCTTTAAAACCTTTTTTTCTCAACTTGTGTATCCCAGGGAAAATCTACACATACAGTTAGAAAGATATTTTCCTGTAGGTGTGTAGAATCCCTTTATAAATTAAAATAAGTTAAAAACTAAGCACAAAAATTATTTTAAAACTAAAAAATTAACATGGGCCTTATGGGTTGCCATGTTGGTGACAAAATAACAACGAAATGTAAACAGAAAATCAAAACAAAATTGAATAAATTCCAATTACAAGTTTTATTTACAGCGTGGGGTGAAAATAGAGAAGTCTGTAAATTACATAATATCACTGGACGACCTAAAGTATTTATTAATAGAAACCGTACGACAAAGAACATCAACAGAGTATCTAAATTTATTCAAATAAAATTGCTATTTCTTGGTTTGGTAATTGCAAAGCTGGACCCAAATATTTTTGTACTCTTTAAATATATATTAAATATATTTCTTTCTAAATGTTTACTACATAAAAATATGTTTTAATTACTTCCATGCATTTGGAAAGAAGGTAATAATCCCCCCGGCTTTTACACAGATTTCAGCATATTATTTAATAGTTCTGTAAAATAAGTACATTAAAAAAATTTCAGTTTCATTCAGTTGTCGACACAATTAAAAATGAGTTGTGAAGGTTCAGCAAAATACTCGTTTAGTTAAATATTCCTTCACCGTAAACAGTTAAATAATATAAAATTAAAAATATGAATAAAAACATACTGTTTTTCCAATAAAATATATTGAGTGTATTCAAACTGTAAAAGTAGAATAACAAAGTAAGAGAACAAATATATCAGTCGACCTAAATGCATTCTGTTTGATGCATCTGTCTCTTTCCAATAAATCCTTTTATCTTGTCTACTGCAAAGTTCTCCGACAAATCCAACAACTAAAACTATTTATGTGCTTTTGAGTGAAGGTTTTATTAAGGGATGGTTAGTATTGTGACCCAAAACCCTTAAAAATGCAAAAATTCAAATATTTTTTAAAACTAAAACTGTTACATTTTTTTGTACTACGACTATCCGCAGTACTACCCTGGTAGAAAACAAATCGTTAATACCAAGGCAAATACGTGGTTTGGATTCCACTATAAACTGTAGGTCCCTTAGCTGCCATTAGCTGTATGGGCTATTAATTAACAGCCCAACACAAGCGAAACAGCGAAAGATAATAATTAACTTATAATAGTTAACTAGAGGACCCATGGTGATTTTTGATTGAGTACTACAGTATCTTGAGCTTAACTGATTTAAACGTTCAATAGCTCAAATCAAAGCCTATAATTTACTGATTATTTTGAGTAAAGAAAAAAAACAGGAACAATAGCTACTGATTTTTATTCATAGAATATCCTAATGAATAATAATTCTTTTTATTATTTATGCATTTTCATACAAAGAGTTGTGTAGTTTTTAACTTCACGAATTAACTCACGTTACAACTGTTATCTTATAACATTTAAAGATAGGAGAACGTCAAGGTTATTGTGTCGTTTGCAGAACTCGCTGGGATGATGACGGTCTTACATTTTTATCAAGATTATTGTTGAACAAAGGTCCACTGTCGACAACCTCTACTACATACGAGTACATACGATTGGGAAAAAAACATAATGGTCACAACGATTAAAAAGTTAGATTTTCTTTTAAATGTGTACCATTATTTGTGAAGTTATTCTATAGTTGAATAATGATAATAATTTTTAAATTTTATTATAGCACTATAAAAACAAGATTGTTTGTGTATCAAACTTATTTATTTTGTCACTTTAATGCTCTATTCCACGAAAAAAGTATGTAGCATTATTACACGTATACGAATTTGAACGGATCACGGCCTCTGGTAACATCAAATCGAAACAGAAAATAAATAGGTCCCAGTTCTAGTCTTACCGTGTGAGACCTATGGTAATATCTTATTCCTTATAATGGGAAATTAAAAAATATGTCAATTCCATGATAAATACGATTCTCTTTTGACATTTTCAGGTCAAACTCCTAGCCAGGACAAATTTAAGAAATGATACTCTTTGCGTATGATAAGAAATTGAAGGATTTTTAGAACACTGGAAGAAGGAAGTCTATAAAAAGTCCCGCGTATCCGAAGTATTTAGCACAAACTCAATAGGGTTAATGGCAAAGTAATTTGAGAAACCCGGGCAGAACAAGAGTTAAGGCTAGGATAATGAGTAAGTAGGCGGAACAAACTTCTTTGCCTCAAGTAACCTACTTTGGTTACTTTCTTTAAAGGTCATGGATATATTAAAATGAATGGGA